GGTGGAACATCTTTCTACAGGTGATGGTGGAACATCTTTCTACAGCTGATGGAGGAACATCTTTCTACAGTGTGAACCAGCGTTCATGGGAATCCCTGCAGTAGATGTGCAGATATGTGAAGTCTCGACCACAAGTATTGATCAGAGCTTAACAACAGATGAACCAGGGGGCTCGTTTTGTGGGAAGACCCCCCACCGGGTCTCTGGGTCGGGGTGGGGTGGGAGGTTTCCATTCCTGAATAAATTTGGGGGTTTTCTCTAAAGGTGTCCAGCTGACCTCTGACCCCGTGGCAAGAAAAAAAGTCATTGAAGCCTCCTAAAGCCGAGGAGGTCCGAGGAGAGGCTGGGAAAGCAGCCCGACGGAGGCCGAGGGCGGCCGGACGGGGTCACGGCACCCGGCGAGGGGAGGGTCCAGGAGGGTGAGGGGCAGCGCTGCCGTCCTCCTCCTCCTCCTCAGTGTCCACAAGTGTGTCCCAGCAGCTATTGTGACTGTGAGCTGCAGCAGGACAGAAGGCCTCAAACAAACCGGGCCTGAACAATGTTCGGCCCCTTTTGTTTCTGCGCCGTCTTTCTTCTCCGGCCCTCCATCGCAATCTACTGGCCTCCTTTGTATTGATCGGCCTCATTCAGCCTCTTTCCGCTGTTTTATATGCTCTTTTCTGGCTTCTTTCTCCCCCTCCCCCCTCCTCCTCCTCCTGCAGCCTCCTCCGGCATTCTGGGCAGTGTGAGAACGAAAAGCGCCTCTTGACGGGATGCGACTCGTTAAAGGGCGCCCTAATTGATGGAGAGCGTAATTAGCGTGACAATCGGAAAGAGGAAATCAATATGTTTGTTTTTTTGTTATTAACGAGTAAATGAGACACACAGCCGTCGTAGAATAAAAGGCCTCGGACGCTTCTGCTTTCTGATCTTTTCCTTCTTTTTAATCTCCCAGATACACGAGAACAAACATTCAGATTTACTGATTCTCAGAAAACTTTCAAGCTTTATTTTGACGGGTTGAGTTGAGAGGATATTGTTGGTAATTTGTGTGGTTCAAAGTCAAATTTTCTGTTTAATGTATTCAAGATTGAAGCATCGTGAGCTCAAACACACGACTGCAGCTCAAAATTTAACAAAATAAAAGTTGTTGTCAAGTGAATTAATTCCTAAAATGCTAAAATTTGGGAGCAACGAAATCTTTTCAAAAATGTTTGTCAACTTAAAAACTTGCTAATTCTGGTAATTAAGTATGTGACACTTAAATATTTAGTTTGAATAACAGAGAAATAGAGGCTGGAAGAACTTAACTTTTATGAATAATCAACTTAAAAACTTGTGTTTCTGTAACAAATCGTTAAATAAAAAGCGACATTCACTCATTATAACGTCAAACATGCAGCGGAAACCCTTTAAATACAGTAAATCTACAGTTTCTAAACTCAGTTTCCTACATTGAACTCCTAAAACTCATAGAAATCCTTCCAGTCCAGACAGTTTCTTAAGTTAAGAAGACGACTAATCCAGCCCAGAGCTGCAGGTGGAGCGTCGATGATCAACACGTTTCAACTCGTTGCTCTAAAACATTATAGCGATGCAGGTCTGCACAGGCACTTCAATGTCGTTTTTGGGAGGTTTTTCAGGTGTTAAGTCGAGTTTCGTAGCTTCGTGAAGGGAAAGTTATGAACATTTAGACTCAGCACGCTGGAGTTCGATCGGTTCATGAGTCCTGGTCTGATGCTGACGGGTGGATTTCTGTCAGACTTTTCCACAGATCAGGTCTCTGACGTCTTTTGGTTTTAAAAGGAGATGGCGCTTCGTATTCATGGACCTCCTTATTTGTGACGTTTTATTGCTTTTAATGTCCCCGTAATAAAACCTTATCTTAATAGTTTAATTGTATTTAGAATTTTTTATCTCATTTTATCTGTTTATACAGACAGCACATTAACAAAACAAACCTTGGACTTAGAAACTAACTGATCAGATAACTGGCTAAACAGGGCGTTTTTCTCTCTAAAATAAAAATAAATATGAAATAATAAGGGCTTTAAAAGCAGCCAAGGGTCATTTAAATCACGTGTGTTGTGGTTTTTCCTAGAAATATCAAAAAAAGGAGGAACATTTGATTCGGAAATCGAGTTTTCGCGACTTCTGGATGCTTGTGTTTTAGGTTGTTTTTATTTTTATTGTTTTATTATTGTCATTTGTTTTTTATATTTTAAAAAATATTATATATATATTTAAATATATTTTATTTTCTTTATATTTTTTCAGATTTTAAAAATATTTTCTTTATATATTTTTCTTATTTTTTATTCCTCTTTGCTATCTGACCAGATAAAATAGCAAAGAGGAATAAAAAATGTTCGAGTCTTTTGAGGTTATGGTTGATTTATTCCTTCTATAACGGTCTGAACTGTAATATTTATCATACTCGGGTAAATTTACACAATAAAAGAGCAGGATCTTGATATTTAAACTCGTTGGGTAACGCATCAGCACTCAGGAAGAGAACTGAGAGAAAATAAAGTTAAACAGCTAGAAGGTTTTCAAAATAAAAGAACCAAAAATGCCAAAAACTAAAATGAGGATAAAACCATAAAGACAAGGATAAAAATAATATTATTGGTAGTAATAGTAAATAAATAATGACATAAATAGTGTAAATAAATCCTATAAGACAACAAAATGAAGAATAAAAGATTTTAAGATCTATTGAAACACGATGAGAAAGCAAGATTTTAAAATGGGTTTTAAGAAGCAAATCAAAAGTATTTATCCCTAAAAAAAGAAAAACGGGCTGTTTGATGATGAAATTCTAATAAACTAATAAGCTTTAGCGCTGCCAGCTTGAATGCTACGTCTTAGCGACCGTCTTCACACGACTATAAACTCCAGTCTGAGTGTTTCCTCCGTGTGTTCACTTCTGGATGCTTCTGTTTCTACAGGTTTAATCTGTGTTTGTGGCTGTTTTCCTGTTTTCTTGGCCCTGAGCCTGGTTCTGCTGCAGCTTCTTCTTCTCTTTTATCTCCAACAGTCTGCTCAGAGTCTCTGGAGTAATTCTGCACATGTTTAAAGTTGATTTATTTCATATATAACATAAAAAAAAAACCTGAATATTACTGTTTAACGCACTCTGGTGAACAGTAAATGGTGAGATGTTGATATTTATACCTGGTAAAGTATTCATTTACATGTTAATCTTTAAAAAAACAAAAAACAACTCCATTAAACATCTGTATTCATACAAACAGTCGTTGGTTCTTTCACGATATGCAACCAGAAAACTAGTTTTACTCCAGTTAAATGAGCTTAAAGTATTCTACAGGTGTCTGCTGGCATCTTTATGGTTCTTTAATCGTATCATTTCACTATTTTAACTTATTTTCTGAGTCTTGCTGCCTGTTTCTTTACAGATCTTGTTTTCTACAGTATAAAAAAACCCCTAAAAGTCATGATTAGATGATTCAAACACTTGATCTTTAATTCTCGGCTTCACAGGCAAACAGTTCTCTGGATGTTTAATCCACATCGATGTCTAAAAAAATCTTAAATCTGCAAAAGAATCAAACATTTTGTGTCTGTCAATAATTCGTCTGGACAAGAACCAGCGGTCCACAGAACTTTATTAAAACACGATCTCAGTCTGAAGCGGTTTCATCAGTTCAGTGTCTCTTTCAGTCTCTTCCTGTGACTTTAGCTTCAGAGAACAAACAGCAGCTCCAACGTTCAGCTCTGAGCAGCAGCAGCAGCAGAGTCCTGAGAGGCCGAGCTCTCCGTCCTCTTCTGTGCCACTCGCCTGCCCCCTGCTGGCGAGGAGGGGAGCTGGGCGTCCTGCTGGGAGAGCTGGGAGAGCAGCAGGTCCACGCTCTGGACCAGAACCCGCTCCAGAACCTGCTGCTCCTCGGAGGTGAAGCGGCTCAGGACGTGGCGCTCCACGGACATCTTCCCCGTCGGCCGGCCGATCCCGACCCGCAGCCTGAGCATCGCCTGCAGGGTCACAGCGTTTAGTCCGATCAGCTGATCAGCAAACACACAGATCAGGCGTTTCCTGTTTTGTTTTAGTTGTAAACAGGAAGCAAACACTTTCTGTAGAAGGTCTAGATTAAACGGTGTTTTGCTTTATTAGTTGTGGAGTTAATTTAGAATTTGTGCCTCTATTTGGCTAACATCCATCCATTATCTATACACCGCTTAATCCTCATTAGGGTCATGGGGGGCTGGAGCCTATCCCAGCTGACTCAGGGTGAAGGCAGGGGACACCCTGGACAGGTCACCAGTCTATCACAGGGCTACACTTAGAGACAGACAACCAAGCACACTCACATTCACACCTACGGACAATTTAGAATCACCAATTAACCTCAACATGTTTTTGGACTGTGGGAGGAAGCTGGAGAACCCGGAGAGAACCCACGCTGCACGGGGAGAACATGGAGACTCCACGTAGAAAGATTCCGGTGCCCCCACCGGGACGCGAACCGGCAACCTTCTTGCTGCGAGTCAACAGTGCTACCAACTGCGGCATATTTGTCTAACAAATATATAATAATAGTAATAACTTTACTTATATAGAACCTTTAAAACAACAGCGCTAAAATAGCAGAGACGGCAAAAAGGGAAGAGAATTAAGAAATAAACGGGTAAAAGGTTTTCAAAATAAATCAATATGACAACACTGGATAAAATAAAAAAAATTTAAAGAAAATACAGGATAAATTATACTATTGATAGTAACAGTAAATAAATGAAATTATTGCAGAAATAGTAAATAAATCAATCAATACAACATAAAATGAAAAATTTTTTTAAAAATTTAAAAATGCCAAAAATTTAAACAAAAAAACTAAAAATAATAACACTACTGGTGGTAACAGTAAATAAATACAATTATTGCCTAAATTGTAAATAAATGAATCGATCAAATGAAGAACAAAATAAATTTAAAAATATATATATATATTAAAATCTATCAAAACATGATTTTAAAAAAAAGCAAGACAATAAAATGAGTTTTAAGAAATGATTTAAAAGTATTTATCCTGAAAAGGCTGTTTTATGATTTCAAAAAATTCTGATAAACTTTATTGACAACAAGCGCTTTATAATAAAACTTCACCAAAAAAAAAAAGTTTAGGACAAAAACAAGATAAATGTTTTAAAGAAATGCAGCAGCGACCATCGACTGATAAAAGTGAGATTAAAGGATGATGTTGAGTTTCTCTTCCTGCTGTAGTTAATTCATTTAATCCACAATAATCAGAATTTCCCTTCAGCGGATGCAGAATTAACACCCGAGCAGGAAGATAATAAACTCAGATGTGATTAAAAAAAACCACCGGAGGACTTTACAGGATGGTAAAAAGTATAAATACTAGTATTGCAGTAGTATTTTATTACACATCTAGTGTCCTCCAAAGTACGTTAACGGGAGTAAAATTGATGTTTTTGCTACTTTTATACTCAAAAATTATGAAACCATCCAACAATACGTCGACAGCAGAATGAAATTTTACTATTTATGTTTACATGGATGATAAAAAGAGAAATATACGTCGAGTTCTGATGCCTCAAACAGCAAAAACATTGGCTTCAGTCTCCAATCGTGGTTAAACAAGGCTTTCATTTGATTAATAACAACTAATATCAACAAAAAGTAAGAATTAATTTAAAATAATAATAATAACTGTGAGCTGTTTTTAGCGGTTACTTACGTCAGTCTGCAGACAGTCGACACAGGAACGAACTCCATTATGGCCTCTGTGAAGAATTAAAGATTTAAAGTTAATCAGAGAAACTGTTCCTTCTTCTTCTTCAAATTTCTTTTAATTTTTCAGCCGACATCAACTGTTGTATGGAGTGGTGAGAGTGCCACATGACAAAAACAAATCAATAAAATAAAATAAAAGTGGAAATAGAAAGAGGGATAAATAAAATTCAAAATAAATAATGTGGCAAAATAAAGCAATATTCAAAGGTGAATAAAAGTAGACATAGAAAGACAAATAATTAATAAATAATAATAATGATAATGCCTTATTTCTTAAAATTATTTAGTAATTATTATTATTTTATTTTTTTTATTATTTATTTATTTTATTTTTTTTTAAATCTTTTTTTTTTTTTATAATGTCGTTTTAAAAGCAAAAGAAATACGCACAGAAAAACAACATTCCTACTGCGGACATTTTTCTGTAACAAAATATAATATATAACAACATAATAAAAAATAAATATTGTTGTTGTTGTATTGCTACAACACTACACATTGCTGGATTTCACGTCTAACTGACCGGTGCTCTTGTGCACGGCCCGTCGGTTGACATCAGAGGTAAATACGTTCAGACAGCAGGCTCAAGTGAAACAGATCCAATTGCTTTCCTCCTATGCGACCTGTATCAGTCTGACAGTCTGAACAACACAGATCCAATAATGATGAATATCAGAATATTCAGCGCAATCAGAGAGGGGCACTTCCACCCCAGGGGAGCGCTCCGACGAGGTGGAAGTGTCCGGAACGCACAGGCAGTACTTGGCTGCTGATGCTAGTTTAGTTAGTGGTCACACTTCTGTTTCCACCATCGGTGGCGGTGGGGGAATGGCAGATACGCTCCACCGTTACCATCTACTGAGCACGCTCGCTGTGTGTGACATCGTCGTGTCCTCTTCTGCGCATGCGGGACACTTTTGGGTCGTATGAAGTTCACACAGCAGATCACATACAAGTCGCATTTAACTGGAAATGTGAACAAACTCGCAAAGAAATCCTCATTGAGCATCAAGTCCTGCAGTGTGAACGTAGCCAATCTGTGGGATTGTTCAGTCAGATAATACGCCGTCATCCTGATTGGTGACATAAAATGTCATGTTGGAGTCAGAATCCAAGGCTGTCGCTATGTTAAGGCTGTTTTTCATTGGTTCTGTTAGTTTTTCCTAAAAACCTGTCGGATAGCAAGGTTTAGGATTGTTAAGGGTCAGATTATCGAGTCACGACCGTACAGTATCCCGTAGAACGTGTTGATTCTGGAGGGGAACTGAGCACTTTAAACTGAGCACTGCATTCCTCACATCTTTGGTGACGTGGATGAGATACAAACCCACACGTCAAATGAGAGCCAATAAAATATCACAATAAGGTGATCAAGGATGAAGAAACGCACACCTGGCGCTGCCGCCGTGCTTGACGGCGATTTTCCCCAGAGGCTTGTCCAGGTCATCGTGGACCAGCAGGACGTCTTCAGGCTTGATGCCAAATTTAGCGGCTGCAGAGAAACACAGACGGAAAACTGACATCAGCAAACACTCGACTACAATGAATAACGTTGACTAGTCTAGTTATTGTCTCACATAGTTAACAGACTTTTAATCAATTGTGGGATCTTTACATGGTACCTTTTTAACTACACAGTGATTCAGGAAACAAAACACACAACGTCTGATCACACTTTAATTCAAGTAGATGGAGTGAAGAAATGAGATGAAGTGAGATTAACAGAACAGCAAATAATTGTCGTTTTGACACAGTTTGAGATATTCAGCCCCCAAAACCTCGCTCGACTTGTTTACAAAATGGGAAGCGTTGCAGGAGCGCTGGGAGCTGTGACAGCGCTGCACGAGAAGATTACTCCAAGAGCGACGTCGGCCAAATTTAAACTCACACCTCGTATTACGTCAGAACCATGGAATGAGAATTATCGTTTACTACTAAGACTGGGTGGCCTGCTAAACCTCGTTTCCCTGCTTGTCTTTCTGTAATGTCTTAACTTAAATGCCTTGAAATCCAAACTGAGCACGTTTCTTGGAGAAGCTCACAGTTTTGTAAGAAGCTGCAGCATCGACTTTATTTCTGCTCCACGCTAACCTGCGTCTTTAACTTTCACGTTCACCATAATTTCATTCTACCGTGACAGTTTCTATTCCGGGTTTTGTTGTTAAAGACACTCTAATGCCTTCCTTCGACTGTGTAAAACCCCCTGAGTGGATGTGATGTCGACTTTGTAGCTACAGACGATGCATTAAATCTACCATAAAATAATTAAACTACGAGGATCAAGAAGCTCAAAAAACCTATAAAATAGAGACGAAATATTTCAGATTCTTCATGTCAGAGATCAACCGGAAGCAGATTCGAGGCAGTAACCATGTTAACTGGACACCACAAAGCACTTTGTAGAAACTGGATCAGGCAGACCCAAAGAAAAATCCGCAAAACTGTGATTTCAACACATTAAATAAACATGAAACTAAACTCACCTGCTTTGGCCACCGACACCCCGTTGACATTCATCAGCATCCTGGGACGGAGCAGCACCACGTGGGTCTGCTGGACCTCGGACAGGATGACCTCACCCGACACGTACTTGTCGCCGCGCCAACGGTCCGCCACACCGAGCCGGGTGGCGAGCGCCCCGAGCACCGCCATGCCAACGCTGTGTCTGGTACCGTCCATCCCCGGGTTACCCAGACCCACCACCTGACGGCACACAGGCACAGAGCTCACACCGTTTAGTTCACGTACTTCCAGGAACATTTCGGTTTCACAATGAAAAGAAAATATCTGAACAACAAATGTCATGACAACGCCCAAGCAAACAGTGAAAATATCAAGTAGTAGGTGTTGTTGTCATCCAGAGCACCAAATGTGAATTAATCTGCCACTGAAAATAGTAGAGGTCAACTGAGAAAGTACATTAAAGATAAAAAAAAAAAATTCAATACAACACCTAATAAAATGTCTCTGAAGCACTGTCACAGTACACCAGAGAACAGACCAAACTCCATTCATAGAATTGACCAATTTCATGTAGCACCGCTCATTAACCACCATGTGAGCACTTACAGTAAAGCAGTTCAGATTACTTTATTATCCTTCATAAAAAACTACTTAACTCAATGACAGTCATGCCGAACTGAAAAGTAGCTACGACTGACTCCAGAAATGTGCTGAAATGATAATTATGGGATGGACACTTCAACCAAACATGCAAAGGTGCTAAATCAACAGATTTTTGAAGGGAGTTTGGTGAAGTATAACCAGTGACTATAACCAGTGATAACACGAGTTACTGTATATTCATTCATTTATTTACATGCATTCTACAGATATTATTGGGAGTTTCCGGCCTCTACTAATGCTGACAAACTTAGTCGCATCCAGTAAAAGCTCAAAAACACGCGTAGGAGTAACGACAAATGGACCATTGCTGGTAAACGTTGGCTTTTTGTGGGTCGATGTAAACACACAGGACACACATGCAGCCGCTGCCTTGCACTGATTGTACTGACCCACTGGCTCTGCTCACACAAACACTGTGGAGCACATTGTATTGGACTCTATGGCTGCTGACACACTGCAAACATTGTGCTGCCTTTAAACACTGAGCGTCCATTTATTTTGACTTGAACAGGACACACTGGGCAAGTGAGACAACCAAGAGAGTAAATTATAGATTAAAGTCTGCCTGAAACACCTCTGTCACTTTACAAATGAGGACAGACCACTATTCATTAACTTCATCAAGTTCATGTTGCATTGCTCATGAACAACAATACAACCAGTTATGTTGAAGCAGCACAGGTTACTTCAATATCCTGCACATACCAGTACTTATTTGGATGATAGTCATGCCGAATTGAAAAGCAGCTATGACTAACCCAACAAATGTCTCTGAATGTAAATTATGGGGTGGATGCTTTAACCAAACCCACAAACAACGCTAAATTCTCAGATTTTTGAAGGGAGTTTGGCGGGATATAACTAGTGATTTCTGGGGGTTTGTAATCGTGTGGTAGGAAATCATACACACGTGTGCATGGAGTAACAGTGTAGTGGACGAAGTGTAGATGTTGTGAGGTTTCACACTCACCAGCTTTCGGCGGCCTTCTGTGAGTATTTCTCCCTCGAGGCCCATCGCTGGTTTGAACGGTTCGCTGAGCAAAACTCTGTTTATAACTCTCGTCAAAAGTCGCCGCATCGTGACAAAGTTCAACAGCGTCTTGAAAAAGTGCGACAAATAGCGACAAAATCTACTTAAAATGCCTCGTTTGTTCATTCGGCTCAGAAAATGAATACAGATATGTTAAATTTCAGACGTTTTTACAACTTTCCAACGAGCTGATGTGACATTTCTAATGAGAACACTAATAATCTTGTTTCCTTCGATTTCTTAATGAGGTTTACTGTGTGTAAAGTGCATTTTTAGCCATATTTATTCATAATTGAAGTTAGTTTATTAGCTGCGTCCCTCTGAAAACCGGAGTTGTTGCACCGTATTAATGTCTCAGGTGTGTGAAGGTAACTTTGACTGGTGTTAGCATGCTAGCCGTTAGCTTACTTTACCTTGTCGGCTAACTCAAACAGCGACTGACATGGTTCAGAAAAGCTATAAAACACACTAACGCGGCTGCGGTTGACGCGTACGAGCAGTAAAAATAGCAAACTGTGCCATTTTACACACAAATATTCTCATTTTTCAGAATACAGCGTGATATTAGCTTGTCCTCCTGCCATGTTTTTCCTCGCAGCTGTCAACGAGTGTCAACAAGACAACACGTTTAGCTCTGCGGGGCTGCAGCGCCTCCTGTGGTGGAGACTGAGAACGGCACCCAGCAGGAGCAGCAAGAACTTAGAATAAAATAAAATAAAAAGAAATACTTTCTTGATCCCTGAGAGGAAATTCTGGGGGAGAAAGTGACCACCACCACAATACAAATACACAAGAAATAAGAAAAACATATTAAAGTCCAAAATGCATATTAAAGGTTAAAATATACTACACACATTGCTGAACATATTTATTCGACCACCAGGTTTATGTCACAGCTGCTCTAAATGAACAGCATTGGTAATTACCTAAATAATCCCTTATGTTTCCATAATGGTTAACATACCATTATGTAAAAGATCTTTAACTGAAACGATATTTTTAATGCTAAAATATTATTATTATTGTTATCCATGAATTTTTAAATATAATGTTTTGCAAAAATGTGAACAAATATAGTAAAGTACATTATTATTTATTTTGATAAAGATGTAAAACTAAAGCCATTTACTTGCATTCCTGAACAGAAAAGATAGTTTTAGTGGTTGAATGTTATACCAGATTGGCTCAAATTTGGGTATAAAAAGGTGAATTCAGTTTGAAATTCCTCCTTCCTGTTCAAAATGGTAAAGCGTGGAGAGCTGAGTGCGAATTAAAGCACTTCATGATGCTGGATGGTCTATCTATAAATATATAGTGCTTAACAACTTTGACAGGTGGTCTCGTACATTTGTTAAGTATATTTGTTTTTTGTTATGTATATTTCAGCTTATATTCAACAGAAAACATGTACTGCAGTGAAATAAGTGCATTTTGTGGATGGATCAGCAATTTAAAGAAAACACTGCAATGCTTTGTACATCAGCAAATATCAGTCTACTTGCATCCCAGCCAGGCAGTATTTTACGACACTATTGCACCATCCATTGCTTGTTTCTTCGTGTCGTTTTTGTTGTATTTCTACTGTGCCTTGCATGTTTGCACCAGGTAAAGTTTGTTAGAGGTGGATGTGAGCTGGTGACACTGACGGAGGCAGATCTCAACACACCTTCGATTCATCAGGACTCATCAACGGAACACTTTGTGACTTTATTATGTTAAAATAGATGATGGTAAACATCCATCCATCCATCTATTATCTATACACCGCTTAATCCTCACTAGGGTCATGGGGGGCTGGAGTCTATCCCAGCTGACTCAGGGTGAAGGCAGGGGACACCCTGGACAGGTAACCAGTCTATCACAGGGCTACACTTAGAGACAGACAACCAAGCACACTCACATTCACACCTACGGACAATTTAGAATCACCAATTAACCTCATCATGTTTTTGGACCTTGTGGGAGGAAGCCGGAGAACCCGGAGAGAACCCACGCTGCACGGGGAGAACATGGAGACTCCATGCATATAGATCCCAAGTGTCCTCACCGGGACGCGAACCGTCGACCTTCTTGCTGTGAGGCAACAGTGCTAACAACCGATCCACCTTGCAGCCCCAATTGTAAACAAACAAACAAAAAAACCCAAAAAAACAGTTGAGACAGAAAAAAACCACAGTTTGCATGTTTATGAAGGTTGTTTTAAACACAGTTATGCAGCCAACAAGACACTAAACCTGCTGCACAGTGAGTGGATTAAATCGCTGTCAGTACGTAAGTCGTTGCAGTAGCTTCACATCAAACAAACATTTAATAGGCTGCAGGATGAAATAATGAGGAGATTTATTTGAATAAAAAAACATCAAATTAGGGATGCACAATATATCAGCGACCACATTGGTATCGGTTGATATTAGTGTTTTTCTGATATATCGGTATCAGTCCGATGAACATATTTAGCTGATGATTGTGTAACATCAGCGCCTTCGTCTCTACATTTGATATTGCTGCTATTTCACAGATGTTTTTACTTAAATGGAGTTGAACATTAAATATGTTAAAATATGTTTAAATATGTTTTACTGTTGTTATGTAATAAAGAAGACTATGTGGTCTAATTTGGGCTTCTTTTGAATAGTTTTCTCACAGTGTTTACTTACATTCATTTATCGGTGATTGAATATCGACATCGGTAATATCGGTTATCGGCGATATCGTAAATCTTAACATTGGATATCAGTATCGGCCAGAAATTTCATCACTACATCAGATGCATGAAAAAGCACCACGTGATGCAGCAGCCAGCATCACAGCAGTGTGTATGTGAACTGTGAGCACAAATGAAGGTGTGCACACAAGACAAGCAGGTATTTATAGAAAGAGGTCACGTTTGTCCTGATGATGATCGTCCACCACCTTCTGCAGAACAGAAATGGATCACATAGATGAGACGATAGACAGGCGAGCAGAAAATCGCTTAATGAAGGCTTTAAATGTAGAATGAACTTGTGGCTCTTCTGCAAAATGGAGCCTCGAGATCGCAGGTGTTGCTTTGAGGTTTTGTTTTGCAGAAAAATCTGTCAACAAGTTAAACTCGGTCTACTTTCAGCTGCATATAAATAAAATTAAAAATATTTAACGTCGATCATAATCTGCATCTGACAAGTCCGAAAGCAGAAACGTGTGGTTAAAAAGTCCCAGACTGCTCAGTGTGAGAGCGACTGCAAACAGGACTCATTTTAAACCATCTTATATGAATATAAAAGCAGGTAAAGTGATGTTAGGAAGCTTTATTCAAGGCAGCACTGTGGCCAAACATTCCCCCAAATAAAGCCTTTCACACATTTGTTCTGGATTTTTTTTTGCAAAATGGAAACTTCTAAAATCTTTAAAGTAATTAAAGTTATCAAATAAATGTAGTAAAAAGTGGACTTTTTCCATCTAAATTGTTGTAAAGTAGCAGAAAATGGAAAAACTCAAGTAAATGTAAAGTAATCGTACTTAATTAAGTTCTTGGGTAAATGTATTTAGTTACTTTTAGTTACTTTACTACATAGAAGTAAAATGCATCATTACTTTCCAGTCAGTGTAACTCTGAGATATCAATAATGTGTTTAAAGTTATTTGAAAATGACATTTGAGCGTCATGTTGGGCCTAAAATATTAAAATTAAAGAACAAAATAAGATTAGTTTTTAGTTTTTAGTTGTGTTTTATTTCAAAAAACAGAAAATTTGTTTAGAGTAGTAGCAGAAAATGGAAATACTCAAGTACAGTACTTGTCTAGCTGTTACTTTACTGTCTATAAGTAAATATATCATTAGTTAACAGAAAGATTGAGTTTGAAGTTGTTTGCACCTGAAGATAACTTTTGCCGCCATGTGGGCCCTAAAATATTATAACTGTATTGTATTCTTCTTGAAATTTTAATAGTTTTATTTCAGAAAGAGAAAATTACAGACATTTGCTTCTAAACTGTGTAGTACAAGTGTAATATAGTAGTAGCAGAAAATGGAAATACTCAAGTAAATGTAAAGTACTTTGTAGCTGTACTTAGTTACTTTCTGTTACATTGCTGTATAGAAGTACAAATATGTAAATACAGCTGATTCCATGCGTTGAAGTTGTTTAAAATGACGTTCAGTCGTCATATTGGGCCTAAACGGAGATAAAAGGACAAAAACAGACTCTTTTTTTCATTGTTCTTGATTTTTATTTTAGTTTGTATCTCTGTTCTGGGCTGTAAATTCAGCAGACGGATGTTCATTGTTGTTCCGGGGAACAGGGAACGGCGTCGGTCAATGGCTGACATCTTTCCACCACCGCCGTGATCTCGCCCACGTTCACGCCGTCGTAGGTTCCGGTGATGGAGGTCCAGTGGGTGTCTCCGTTGTGGTTGGTGCGGCTCAGCCTGCCTGTGAACGGGATGCTGGCCTTCATCGTCCTGCCTTCCATCCTCACATTGCAGGAGTAGTTCGGCGGCACCACCAGCTCCACCGACAGCGAGTGGCTGAGGGACTCCGCCATGGTGGTTCCCTCTGAGAAGGTCACCTTCTGCTCCTCGGTGAAGCCCACGTCCCCCGGGCCGAGGATGGGAACCTTGGCCGACATGGTGGACACAGAGCCGTTGCGGGTCTCCCTGCCGATGTCCCAGGTCTTCGCGGACCGGGTCGTCTTCTTCAGCGTCACCGTCTTCACAACGTCTCGGCACTCATGGTTGACGACGTTGATGAGATCCAGGGCCTCTGGTGGTTGGTGGAACAGCTCCATCTTGTCGATGGCGTACTCCACGTGGGAGATGTGCTGGCTGTAGCTGACACGGTTGATGGCCAGGACATGGTATGACTTGTACCAGTACTCATCGCCCTCCCAGGGCAGGAAGAAGGCCTCGTGTCGGGTCACCACTTTGCCGAGCCCGTACTTGTTCTTACCTACGTAGATGTCACTATTGGGGCAGGTCTTGATGGAGTACTGAGGAACAGAACCGTACGAACCTTCAACCCACTGCAGGAACTCGAAGTGGTCCACGTTGACCAGAACCTCGAACGTGGAGGAGGCGTACTCCCTGTCGGCGTAGGGATACTGGCACAACTTCCCTTTGCTGGGTGTGTAGAAACCGGCCTCGCAGTTGACTTTGCAGACGTAGTCGTTGCGTTCAGCATAGCCGTTAAAGATGGCGACGGCGCCGTTAGGGAGGGAACCGTCCCACGTGACCCACTTGAGGTTGACGTACTCGTCAAAGATGGGTAAGGAGTGGGAGGGGGTGTGGGCTTCTGGGCTCTCCACAAGTTTAGGAGGGTTGCTGACCTCCCTGGAGGGGACGACGTCTGCCAGCGCAGGGTTGAGCCACGCTTCTGCACCACAAAACAGAAAGACACCGATGGAGGTTGGGTTCAAAAAAATTACCAAATGACACCATTTATCAGCCAGAAATGGTAAAAACAGGTGGTTCTTGTGTTAGTTTGTATTCAGTATGTCTATCAGATGTCTATGAAACAGGAAGATACCGACTGTAGGTTTGGTTCAACATGTTGTTGTGGGACATTTAACAAATCTGTAATTTAAATAATCTTTGAACCCGCAAACCCACCTTTGGACTCAAAAGGCATTTATTAGCCATAAACTGTAAAAACCAATGAACTAATCATGTGTAACACGTGGCTATACTGAGAAAATTCATCAAATCTAAGCTAAAAAGTTTTATTTCATCAAAATCCATCTCATTAAAAAAAAAAAAAACTCCCCAAGAATTTCGCGCTCCCCAATGCAACAAAAAAAATCTTGGAATTGTAGTTTAGCTGAACTATAAGGTGGCAAAAAACGATGGTACTCAACTATAAGTATCTCAAAATCTGTTTTTAAATGCATCATCCAACCCCGGACACATCAACAGATACTTACACAAGATCAGGTTGTATAGTTTGTATTATTTTGTAGCACTGATTTGTAGGTTGCTGCTGTGAATATATAGTTTTAGTTTCATGTTTTTGTGAGTTTTAAAGAGCCGACAGAAGCCATAAACAGCCCATGTCGTCAGTAAATGTGCTGGACTGTAGAGAGTGACTCACTGCTGGGCTTCTGCTGGCTGTCCTGCAGCTGGTAGAGCAGCGGCTTGGACTGCAGCGTCGGGCTGCACAGCTGCAGCAGCAGCAGAACAACAGCGACGCAATGCCTCATCTGAAAAAACACAGAAAACACACATGGGGAGGGATTTATCACGTGTAAAAACAGCCAGACAGCCACAAAGAGACACAAAGCAACACAGAAAAAATACAAAGAGCATCAAAAACATAGTAAAAAGACACAAAGAGACATAAATAAATGCAAAGTCACACAAACTCGTGACAAAGAGATGCAAGATTAACACAAATAAACACAGAACAACTTCAAAAACACCAAAATGACCAAAAGGAGATGCAGATAAATTAAAAAGAGACTCAAAATGAACATAAATAGACACAAAAACTGCTGGAAAGTCACATGAAAAGACATGAAAACCAATAAACGACACACAAAATGGACAAAAATGAACATATCATAGGTGCAAATTCACATAAAAAGATCAGAAAGAGGTTTAAAACAACAAAAGAGATGTAAAAATAAATTTAAAAAATATGTATTAATTTGCCAATGCACTGTTATTTATATAGAAATAGTTGAGAATACACATTTAGGTGTCACCAACTGCACTGTCTTAGTCACAAATGTTCAGTTTAGCAGCTCTTAAATCAACCAAACCTTCTATTTTTATTCCCATTTAAGTCCAATCTGAAGGTTTTTGTTGAAGTTTTATTAACAGCCTCATTTATAGGATTCTTAGAAACACGATTCACAGAGTGATTAAAAGACCAAAAATTATGTCAACAGATATTTTGAAGTTGGCTTTTATCCAACGTTCAGATTTCTGTTTGGAAATGAAACACAATATTTCAGAAAACAGTGTAAATAATCAGCCGGGGAAGTTTAATGCTCTGTTTTTTACTTTTGTTTTCCCTGAAAAGCAGCAGAAAGAGAAGATTTCCATAAATAAAATGTTCTCAGTGATCTTACATTCCAGATGCATTTATTGATTTCATTCAGAGATTTAAAAATAAATAATCAATCAGGCAGAGAAACGTTGCAGAATCAGTAAAATGAGTGTTTTTTTGTTGTTGTTTTTTTTACCTCCACGGTTCCTCCTGCAGTGACGCCGTCTGCAGACGAGCTCAGCTTTAAAACCTTCCCGGCCGGTTATTGCCCCCCAATAAACCACCACAGCCCAGGTTCAGTCTGACCTGTTCAGGTTCTAACGCAGGCGTGTTCGCGCCTCCTGGCTGGGTTCAGTCAGTCAGTCGAGCTTTAGTCGTGTGTTAAAAGAAATTTTAAAAAGAATCAAAAAGAGCTTTGAAATTAAAAATGCAGATGAAACAATAAAAACAGTAATATAATAAGGAAAAAAGAATGAAAAAACAAATAGAAAGTCAGGCTAGAAAGGGGTTTTAAGTTGAACGGTCTTCCTCTTTAAGTTCTCCATTAAGATGTGGATCAACATTATGACTTCATTATGTCGTTACTGGACTCCTACAGACCTTGACACATATTATTTAAATGTGTCACGAGGTCGTATCTGTCTTATTATTATTATTTTACAGATTTTCCCTGTTTCTTTGTTGTTGTTTTTTTACATTAGATACAGCCGATTATGAGTGAAAAATAAAAAAATAAGTCACGTTTTCCTTGAAAAAACAAAACAAAACTCAAAACAACTCATGAACCAAAACTGTAAAAGAAAAAAAAAGTCCACATCAAAACATTTTTTAAAAAAGTAATTGCAAACAGTATGTAAAGTTTTGCCTTTTAATTTTTTTTCTTTTTACTACATTTAATTTTAAATTAATATTGTCATTTTCTGGATATTTGCTGTTATTTGAAAGAAAAATTACATATATTAGGGACTGAAAATATTATTTTATTATTATCTTACAAATTTTTCCTTTTTTTAAAACATTTTTTTATTGGATACAACCGAATTCCGAGTAAGAAATATATAATATAAATGTTTTATTTATCTCTAGTAAAGTTTTTTTTTTTTCTGCCAGATTTTTGTGACAGTTTTTTACAGATTTGTAGTTTTTGTCTTTTTTTTTTTTGTCATGTATGATTCTTAACTTTTAGCCACACAGGAAACTCATTTGAACTAACAGAGCTCCTGAACACATTTTTTTAGTGTTTTCTTTAAAGCGTGGCGAGAACTTGCAGCTCAGGTCAGATAACGTCGCCAACGTGAACCCCGGAGGCTCTGATCCGACCTCGAAGCAGCTGCAGACTCGGAGGTCAGGAGCTCTCGTCCTTGAACCTCCCGAGTGTTTGTAGAAACGCTGCCGATAACAGACTCGCATCGAGCCCTGCATTCACTCCTTAATGAGCCCGTTAAAAGTGCTTCATAAATACGTTTAAAGTCTGCGTCCGAGGAACGGCCCCATGTCCAAAGTGCTGCGGCGCCGATGACAAGATACAGTACGTCCAGATAAGCTCGGACAGGGAACAAATTGATTAGATCTGCTGTAAGAGGAGCTCATTGATTAAGACGAGGCCTCGTTGCGTAACGTCGCCGGCTGCCAAGATTAAACGGGAGCAGGAGCCGCTCGACACGGACATTGTTCCCTCCACGGTCCTATCGCTGAGAATCGCTGATGTCATGGCCATCTGTCCTTGAGACAGAAAGTTATTATCAATTTATTTATTTAGGTCTGAATGAGGACTCTGTGAGGCGGCGCAAAGGTCATTTACATTCACAAACTGAGCTGCTGCCTTCAGCCTCCTAAAGAACACGTTATTATTCAGCTTTGGTGAGTTCTGTTCAGCAGCCGCTCGGGTTTTACTCTCAAACCATTTTATTTTCACACAAGAAGCTGAAACAAAGCAGGTTTCTGTGGGATTTTGCAGAAATCAGAATTTATCTGCAAATTCACTCAGCGTAGGTCAACAAGCTGATGTTTTGAGCTAAACGCTAACATTAGCAGAAGCCAAGTTCAGAGCCTTGGGTTACTTTGTTAGAACGCTAACGTTGCTATATCAGTGCAACTTCTGCAGGTTTTGGGTCATAAATCCAAATATCTTGGATCACAAAGCCATCTGGGTTAATTCTACAAGACACAAAAGAGACGCAAAATGGACACAAACAGGCAAAAAATATCTGCAAAAGACACAGAAAGACCAGAGAGAGACGCAAACTAGAATGAAAAAGGAGCAAAATAAACAGAAATACATGCAAAAAGACAGCAGAGGCCCACAAATAGACCAAAAATAAATGAAACCAATAAAAAAAGAGGTGCAAAATGACACAAATAGACATGAAATGATTGCAAACACACAAAAAGACACCAAGGACGAGCTGGCCAATGAAAAGTAGATGCAAGAAGGACACAAATAAGCAACTGCAAAGACGTAAAAAGACCTGAAAACTGTGTACCGGTGGACTGATACTGATCAAAAATTAATTTTAGAATAATTGTTTCTTTACTTTCAATTCTTTAAAAAGTAATTTTGGTAACATGATGTGTCAGTGGTAGAAGAAATAATTATTCTTTTCTAACAATTTCATTTCTACAATCACTAGTATTTATTTCAACTTTTTTCTCACCTTTTCCAAAACCTCATTGCATTTTTTCAGACACCAAGTTGTATGTTTTTTTTAAATTCTGTTTTAAAAACTCTTGATTTTATTACTTTTGCTGCTTTGCAGAGCACTTTTAAATAAAGATCACTTTTATTGTTTTTTAAAAATGTTTTATTTTAAGGTGTAGACAGCAAAACCTGGAAGTTAAACTTTGACTTTCAAAATACAATTTTAAAAAAAATGAATTCAGTTCTATTTGTTTGTACCGCGCAGCTTGCAACATGTCATCACACAGCGCTTTACATAGCAAGGTACAGACCCTACAGATTTAACAGAGAAACCAACAATCTGTAAGCATAACCTTAAAAGTAGAGAGGATGTCTGCTTCTTGAACCCAAACTGGGAGCTGATTCCATAAGACAGGAGCTGATAACTGAAGACTCTGCCTCCCATTCTGCTTCTGGAAACTCTAGAACCACCAGTAGACCTGCAGTCTGAGAGCGTCATTGAGAGTTTTATATGTTAAAAGCAGGATTTTAAATTCTATCCTGGATTTTACAGGAAGCCAATAAAGAGAAGCTAGTACTGGAGAAATATGATCTCTTTTATTGGTTCCTGTCAGAACCCTGGCTGCAGCCTTTTGGATCAGCTGGAGGTTTTTAAGAGAATTATTAGGACATCCTGATAATAAGGAATTACAATAGTCCAGCCTAGAGGTTATAAATGCATGGACTAGTTTCTCAGCATCACTCTGAGACAGGATGCTCCTGATTTTTACAATATTACATAAATGAAAAAAGGCTGTCCTACAAACTTTTATTTGGCTGTTGAATGACATGTCCTGGTCAAAAATAACTCCAAGATTCTTTACAGTCGAGCTGGAGGCCAAGGCAATGCCATCTAGAGAAGCTATCTGGTTCGATATTGTGTTTCTGAGGTGTTTAGGGTCAAATACAATAATCTCAGTTTTGTCTTAATTTAAATGGAGGAAATTCCAGGTCATCCAAGCCTTTATGTCCTTCAGACAAGCCTGGAGTTTGACCAACTGATTGGTTTCACTTGGCTTCATAGATAAATATAGCTGGGTGTCGTCTGCATAACAGTGGAAATTTATGCAATGCTTCCTAATAATATTGCCTAAAGGGAGCATGTACAAGGTAAATAATATTGGTCCTAACACAGAGCCCTGTGGAACTCCATAACTAACTCTACTGCGGGTGGAAGAATCATCATTACATGAACAAACTGGAATCCATCCATCCATCCATTTTCTATACACCGCTTAATCCTCACTAGGGTCGCGGGGGGGGCTGAGCCTATCCCAGCCGACTTAGGGCGAAGGCAGGGGACACCCTGGACAGGTCGCCAGTCCATCACAGGGCCACACTTAGAGACAGACAACCAAGCACACTCACATTCACACCTACGGACAATTTAGAATCACCAATTAACCTCAGCATGGTTGGACTGTGTGGGAGGAAGCCGGAGAACCCGGAGAGAACCCACGCTGCACCGGGAGAACATGCAAACTCCACGCAGAAAGATTCCGGTGCCCCCACCGGGATGCGAACCGGCAACCTTCTTGCTGCGAGTCAACAGTGCTACCAACTGCGCCACCTTGCAGCCCCAAACTGGAATCTGTCTGATAAATATGATTTAAACCAGTTTAATGCAGTTCCTTTAAGCTCAATTAAACATTCCAGTCTCTGTAATAAGATGCTGTGATCCACTGGATCAATTGCAGCACTGCAGAACCAGTATAGAAACTAGTCCACTGTCTGAGGCTATAAGATCAGTAGTGACCTTCACCAGTGCTGTCTCTGTGCTATGATTCATTCTAAATCCTGACTGAAACTCTTCAACCAAACCATGTCTATGCAGCAACAACTTTTTCAAGAATTTTAGAAATAAAAGGAAGGTTGGATATGGGCCTATAGTTAGCTAAAACGGCTGGATCTAGAGTAGACTTTTTGAGCAGTGGTTTTATTATAGCTACTTTAAAAGCCTGCGGTACGTGGCCTGTTAGTATAGAGAAGCTGATGATATTTAATACTGCAGTATTTACTCAAGGAAAGATTTCCTTGAACAGTCCAGTTGGAATTGGGTCTAACAGACATGTCGCTGGTTTAGAATAATTTACTATCAACGTGAGCTCTGACAGATTTACAGCAGAGAAGCAGTCTAACTATAAATCTGGTCCTTTGGATGCATCCAGAGCTGCTGCTGCACCAACAGACATGCGAATCGTTTGTTGTCTAATATTCAAAACTTTATCAGTGAAGAAGGTCATAAAATCTTCACTGCTGAGAGCTAAAGGAAACAAGGCTCCACAGAGCTGTGACTCTTTGTCAGCCTGGCTACAGTGCTGAAAAGAAACCTGGGGTTGTTCAGGTTTTCCTCAATTAGGGATTAATAATAAGCAGTTCTTGTCTTGCGGATCGCTTTTTTTTATAGGTAACTGTGAGTCTTCTGAATTGGTAGAGCGCCACTGTCTTTCTAACCTTCTTAATTTCTGTTTTAAGATGCAAAGCTGTTGACTATGCCACAGAGCTATTTTATCATAATTTATTGTCTTCTTTTTCAATGGGGCAACAGCATCAACTGAAGAACGCAGTAAAGCTGCAGTTCTATCAACAAGATTATCCACCTGTGTGGGACTAAGATTGGAGGAGCTGCTCTTTGTTGTGTCGGCATTGAAATAAATAATCGTGGAATCGTTTCTTTACATTTAATTACTTTATAAATGTATTTTCTCAAAATTGTAGAAAGATTTGCAGAAACTGAAAACTCTACTTGTGTGACGTTAAATTATTATTATTAGTAAAATCATATGCAATAAAATAGAAGAGACTGTGCAGAAAAGTGGCATTTGATTTTCATTTTAAATGTGTATGTAAAGCTTTTTTCAGACACCAAATTGTGTTTTTAACTCTTTTAAAATCTGACAATTTTACAGCTTTTGTGTTTCATTTTGCTGCTTTGTGAAACACAAATAAAAATTCTTGTTGTTAAAACCCGTTTCATTTAAAAGTGTAGCTGACAAACCCTATAACTCTAATTTCAAAATAAACTAAAGAAAAATAATTGAATGTTCTCTTAGCTGTAGAAAAAATAATAGAAGCTGAAAACTTTGGTTCGGTTCTCAGTAAATGTAATTGATCTGATGATCTGTTGTGATCCTAAATTATTACAAGCAATTCATGTGCAAGTAAAAACAAGGAGAAACTACTCATTTAATTACTTTTGTGTCCTATTTTGTTGCATAAATAAAAATCATTAATATACAATGTTTGATTGTAACCTGTAACTCTAATTATCTAATAAAATGATCACAACTTTATCATTTGCATATAATTAGTTAAATTGTGTGGAAGTAAAAAGAAGAAGAAAAGTGTCATTTTATTGTATTTTCAGACACCAGCGCACACTGAAGATGTTTCCGCTGTATTTTATTATTTTTTATTGTGACACATCTTTTACGTTCATGAGCATATCTTGTTTTAAAACATCTTTTAGAGTGTCGTCTGTCAGTCCTTCAGGGGCAGGGCTGGGCGTTGGGCACTGGTTCGCAGCGGTCCACCACGGCCCTGACTTCTCCGATCTGGACTCCGTCGTACGTCCCGGTGATGGAGGTCCACTGGGTCTCTCCGTTGCTGTAGGTCCGGCTGAGGCGAGCCGTGTAGGGGATGTCGGCTGTGATCTTGCGTCCCTCCATGCGGACCTGGCAGGAGTAGTTTGGCAGCACCTTGAGCTCCACGGACACCGAGTGGCTGAGCACCTCCACCACCGTGGTTCCTCTGGAGAACTCCAGTGTCTTCTCGCCGCTCAGCTCAATGCCGACAGAGCTGATGAGTGGGATATTGGCTGTGATGCTGCCAGCGATGCCCAGCATGGTGGATCGGCCGATGTTCCAAGTGGTCTCGACCTCCGAATCCTTGGAGATTGTGACTGTCTTCCCGATGGTCTGGCAATCGTTGTTGGTGACGCTGGAGATGCGCATGGTCTCTGGAGGGTACTGGAAGATGGCGACCTCGTCGATGGCGTACTTGACATCGGTGATGTGCTGAGTGTAGGCATCCCTGTTGATGGTCAGGACGTGGTATGACTTGTACCAGTACTCGTCGCCTTCCCAGGGCAGGAAGAAGGCCTCAAACTTGGGCACCACCTTACCGAGGCCGTACTTGTTCTTCCCGACATAGATGTCGACTTCCGCGCAGGTTCTGACTGAGTACTGTGGCACAGAACCGTGCGAGCCTTCCTTCCACTCCACGAACTCAAAGTTGTCTTTGTTGGTGAGGATCTGGAACTTGGAGGCTTGGTACTCGTGTTCTCCGTAAGGGTATCTGCAGTATGGACCAAGGCTGGGGCTGTAGAAACCGGCCTCGCAGTTGTACATGCAGATGTAGTCGGTGCGCTTGGTGTAGCCGTTGTAGATGGAGACGGCACCGTTCGGCAGAAACCCGTCCCAGGTCACCCACTCCAGGTTCACATTGTCACCGAACAGGAAAGATGAAGGAAGGTCCTGCTGCTGCTCCAGGTTGGCCGGATTCAGAGGACCAGACACCACCTGACCGGTCGGTTCAGGGACTTGGCCCTCCAGCTCCGGGTTCAGGAGGGACACTGCAGAAAAAAACAAGAAATTTAGATATTGAACCAGAATATACCTTCTGTCAAAACAAACAGAAGAACTAAGGTGGCTGTGTCGGTGCAGATTCCCAGTCATCCCGGTCTTTAGTAGAAATGAACTGGACTTCTCTTTTAGCTTCTTGAAGACCTTTCATCCAAGAGGCTTCTTCAGTTCTGACTCAATTTAGGAAGGTGTATTGAAAAGTTAAAATGGGCGATCTGACAATGTTAAATTGTGGAAGAGCTCAGTTTGACATATGATCTGCTTTTTTTTTTTTTTTTTAGAGAATTCACATCATGTCATTAACTTTCTGACCCCCAAAACTCGCTGGTGGGTTTAAAAGTCATGCTGTTGTCCAAAGACAAAAGGCCAAAAGTACACCATAAATCCTAAAAAAATCTTCATATTTTTAACTTTCCAATTATTCTTGAACCACAATCTTAAAGATGTGCTTTGATTGGGGGGAGAAAATAATCAAATCCAAGCTTAGACTGATATTTAACTTTTCGATGATTTCTGTCCCTCTGTGTCATACTGAAAATCTGTTTCCATAGAGGTGCAGGACTTTATGTTGCAGTGCAAAATAATTCCACAGTGAGGAAACATGTGACAGGAGCAAAATAAACACCTAGAAATTCATTTAGGACCTTCACATAATTAGGACAACACTCGTTTGATGAATCTTTGAGGTGTTTAGTCAACAGAAAACTGCATGACACGAAAAGATGTTGTCGATCCTAGTCTGTTAATGTCATAAAAACTTTAAACATATATCAAAGAAATCTGACCTTTCCTGTGCTCCGAGCTCTTCTTCACGATGTCCTGCAGACTGGCTGCAGACAGAGCCAGCAGGGCCGACAGCAGCAACACCGACAGCTTCATCTGGAGGCCACAACACAAAACCCTTTAAAGTCAACGTGGTCGCCCCTTTACTAACTCACCATCCAATATTCCACCCAAATGTTTGTGGATGCAATCAGTAGTTTGCAGCTGCAGGTACTACTTCAGTCTTTCAGCACGCTACAGATTATCAGCAATCTTCATTCAAAGTACAGCGCCAGTGTCACTGCCCGACATTCCAGAGCGACAAGTACAACAATCACTAGAATATTTAAAACCAACAGCTGAAGTGGTCTTTGTGTTTATTCAGAGTTTCCTGTTTACTGACTGTGGTTTGACTGACACCTTTAATATCATCAGCCTTAATCATAATGCAAATATTACCATCATGTTTGCACTTTGACACATTCAGCTTTACTGTTTTTATACAATGTCTTTTTAATTCTTGCAATTCTTCAACTACACTTGTAATATTTTTAGCTTTATATATAACCTGTCATGGTCTTAGCTTTAACATTTAAACTAGGTGAATTAGTTAAAAAATGACTTTTCACTACAGATATTAATTTGTAGATCTCAGAAATTAGGAGATTATTTTCTTGAATACATAACATTTTTATTATTTACATAACATTACTTATTTTATGTATTATCCTTCAAATGTAAGTAACAGTAATGTTGTAGATGTTACTTTCTTGACTTTAGCAGTTTCCTAGTTGAAGGCCAATTCAAATGTATGAAACACCACCCACATGTAATTAGTTATTCTTTACTTTAATGCATTATTTACTGATAATTAGATATTAAATAGAGCTATATATATTAAAAATAAAATAAAATACACCCAGAGGCACTGAAATAGTAGATTATCTCTGGAGACATCTGATGAAGTTAGTTTTACATCACATATATTCATAAACCAAATTTGGAAATGTGTTATAATTGGCACACACACACACACACACACACACATATATATATATATATATATATATATATATATATATATATATATATATATAAATTGAATGTATATTTTAAATGATATTCTCTTGGTGTCTGAGCCTGATCGAAGCAGCACTCACCTTCCCGTCGCTCTCCGGTGAATCCACCTCCACTAACCTCCAGGTTTATATAGCTGCTTTATGGCTCCGTCATAAAACAGACTGTTCACCTTCACTGTGCCCGACTTTGACCTACAAACACAAACTGGTGCAGTGAGGAGGACAGATGGGTTCCTCTCTGTCTTTTTTCAAGTACATTTTAAATAACGTACGGATTGATTTCCAACAAGTTTAATGTGCGTACTTGTCTGTTTTTGGATCTGAGAAGTAGAAAAGTAGAAGCATACCCCTTTCAAATAACAACTTTGGGTTACGTGCAGGTTTCTGGTGGTCTGAGTTGGCACTACAGACTAGAATACTTTGTTTTTTAGGTCTGTCTTATCATTGACTTCTACTCAGATATGTCTCACAATAGTGTGGAGTCGTCTGCATAGAACTGTAGACCGCAGAAGCCAAGATTTACTGGAGAATGTGTCGATAAGCCCATTTCAACTGCAGACAGTTTTAGGGTGGCATGAACTTTTTGCGTCTTCTAAACTACAGGAACCAGCCCTATGGACCCTCTTTTAGAGCCATGTTTTGGGAAGAAACTAGAACCTAGTTTCGGCTGCAAAAAAATAAGCATGCATTTACATCAAATTTAGAGCGTGCACTCATCTTTTTGTGTTTTGGTGCAAAATGTGTGTATCAACACCAGAACAAAAGCTAAAGACCTTGTGAAGATGCTGCTGAAGCTGGTCAGAGAGTCATTATCCACAGTGAAACCAGTCTTGTACCAATATGGGCTGAAAGGCTGCTCAGAGAGGAAGAAGACATTACTCCAGAAGAAACATGAAAAAGACGGATTACAGTTTGTAAATGCACACAGAGACAAAGAGCTTCATTTGTGAAGACATGTCCTGTGGTCTGATGGAACTAAACCTGAACTGTTTGGCCTAAATGACCATCGTTACATTTGGAGGAAAAAGGGGGAAGCTTGTAAGACTGAGAACAGAATCCCAACTGTGAAGCACGGGGGTGGCAGCATCATGCTGTGGGGGTGTTTTTTTGCAGGAGGGACTGGTGCACTTCACAGAATAGATGGAATCATGAGGAAAGAACATTATGTGGAAATATTGAAGCAACCTCTCAAGACATCAGCAGGAAGTTAAAGCTTGGGCACTAATGGGTCTTCAGATGGACAATGACCCTAAACATACCACCAGATTAGTTACAGAGAGGCTTCAGGACAACAAAGTCAGTGTTGTGGAGTGGCCATCACAAAGCCCTAATCTCAATCCTGGAGAACATTAGTGGAGCAAGGAGACCAACAAACCTGACTCAGTTCCACCAGTTCTATCAGGAGGAATGGGCCAGAATTCATCAAACTACTGTGAGAAGCTTGTGGAAGGAAACCCAAAACATTTGCCCCAAGTCATACAGTTTCAAGGCAACGCTACCAGATACTGAGGAGATGGATGGAAACTTCTGACTTTGAAGAAAGTCATAAAAAAATTCTCTCTCTCATTATTCTGCCGTTTATCAAATAGAAATAATGTTGGTAATCCTAGCTGACCTGAAACAGGAAAAGTTGAGTCTGATTTAATGTCAGACAGAGAAAAGAAAATGTCGTGTGTTTTTATACGGTGGATGTAAACTTGTGGTTTCAACAGTATTCACACAGTTGGCAGCTTTTTCCTTCTGTTGCTGCAGCACTTGAGTTGCTTTCTGCCTGTATTATACTTTTAAATTTGTCATCATTCAGTGTTATAATTTGTTCTTATTCTGAGAAATAAGCGTCTATTTTGCTCTCTGTGTTTGATCAACTGGTGCCAAGACTTGTATTTCAATTCAGAAACTTTGACTTGGACTGACAGCGGTGCAGCTGTTGCTGAGCCAATCTGTGGATGTTTTCCAGGTGAAAATGTACAAAAATAAAATCCTTGAACTTCAGTGGTTTGGCTGCAGACTAAGATGGGGAAGATAATTCAGAGCAGCCTTGATCTGAGGACTGGTTACAAAATGAGGGCAGATAAGATTCAGGATTATTAACGTGAGAGAAAACAAACTGATAAGGCAGCAAATGATGTCAAAACATCGCTCTGTATCAGCGACCTTCAGTGTATCAGGCACTCTTCAGTCCTTATAAACTAAATTATAGTTATAAACTGTGATAAATATGTGTTTAATAACCTCTTAGTCCATTTTCAATATCCAAACTCTCAACAGTGACACAGAAATGTAAAGGAATACTTCATCATGAACCATGAAGAACTGAGGGCAGCAGAGAAGGAGACATTTTTAGAAACAAACTCAACATCTGTCTTTAATTTAATTAATTTATTGACATATTTAAATCTAGTTTTTACAAACTTTATTTTGCTACTATTGTCCTATCTTTGAAAATATGAACCATTTTCTTTGGATTTCCTCAGTACCTGATTAAATGAAATCCTTTATTGTAACATTTATTGTGTAAATAACTTTGTGTTACAATCAATTTGTGCAAAAAGCACGACACACATTAAGATTGATTGATTGACTGATTGATTTATTGATTGATCAAACATCCAGCTTTCAGTAATAGTAAAAGGAGGCGTTATACATTAAATATTTAGTTTATAATAAACCTGAGTCAAGGTGAACTATTGTTTTCTGACCCTGACTGGATCTCATGGTCTTCATCAGTGGAGGTGTTGCAGTGTGGAGTGATTTCTTATTAAACATTCATTTTGATTTCATTTGTGCTTCAGGAAACACAAAACTGGTGGTTTATAAGTTCACACAGACACTCAGACGTGAGCTATAAGTAGGGATTTTATTGAATAATTACATTCATGTGTGAAGATGATCAACATTAACATCATAACGTGCAACATGTAGTTTATGATCCCACTTCAATGCATTCTGCTGGATGATTCCTGAACTGCTGGAAGAGATGAACAGAGAACTTTATCTCCACCTGTGATGACAGTTAGTGATCTTTCAGCGCCACCTGCTGGATTCATCATGAACACACAAACTTTCTGACTTTTAGAAAACTAATAAACTAATCCAGTAATTAATCTGAAAAATAATAAAATTAAAAGAATTAGTGCAGCAGAATAACTTTCATTGTATTTAGTGACCTGAAACTGATATCAGTGTGTACATTATGAGAGAAAGTAAAGTTTGTTTATGTGCAATTTGTTTTGAATAATTTGTTGTTATTTTACAGGTCGTCCTTGTGTTGCTGAATTTCAGGAAATAAGTAAAATCACAGGAAGAAAAACATGCTAGTTATTCATGAATACTTTTTAAAATGAACACATGTGACAGTACAGTTAGACAGTTTGACTTGATTTAAATCAGTAACTAAATAATAATATATAAAAATCTGTATATGATATGATTTTACAGTAAAGTTACATTATTCACCAGTTTCAGTGATTTTTTTCTGGCATCCTTTCTGTCAGATTTATTTATTTATTTGACATTTTTCATTAATTTTACAGATATTTGGCTTCATTTGAAAGAAAAATAATGTATAATTAAGATTGGAAAACTGCACTTTTTCCAGTTTCTGTTTTGTTAAATTACAAATAATATGTTTTAACATCACAGAAATAACATCCATCCATCCTCTACACACCGCTTAATCCTCATTAGGGTCATGGGGGGCTGGAGTCGACTTAGGGCGAAGGCAGGGGACACCCTGGACAGGTAACCAGTCTATCACAGGGCTACACTTAGACCAAGCACACTCACATTCACGCCTATGGACAATTTAGAATCACCAATTAACCTCATCATGTTTTTGGACTGTGGGAGGAAGCCGGAGAACCCGGAGAGAACCCACGCTGCACGGGGAGAACATGTAAACTCCACGCCGAGTTTCCGGTGCCCCCACCGGGACGCGAACCAGAAACCTTCTTGCTGCGAGGCAACAGTGCTACCAACTGCGCCACCTTGCAGCCCAAGTTATGACACACGTTCACATTATTTATTGACTGTATATTT